TTTTTTTACTGCCAACTGAACTATTGTTAATTTTTTGTTCAAAACAGTACAGCTAAACCTCGCTCAATATCTAAATTTTTAGGTAGGGAAGTTCAAGAAGAAGTCATTGCACGTATAAATTATGTCTTGCAACAATTAGGGTGTGCAGTTCTGACGACTAATCATTTTGTTTACTGGAAAAAACAACCGGCACCATCTTTAGGTCAGAAATGGCTTAATGCTGTTCATTCTCGTTACCTCCTGGCTAAACTTCCTAACTGTTCTTACATACAGTTAATTCATTCTTGTCGATCTCAGGTACTTTTAGTTTTCGGGTACAAAGAATTAAATTTAATTTTTAATACTTAGTTGGGGTGACATTGTTTTAGTTTATGACGATAACTTTGAAGTACTGTACTTGCGTCTCAAATCTGGGTTTTATTATATATCATATTATAATTATAAAGGATTTTTGGTTACTTAATTAATTTGACTTGGCAAAGAGTCGGTAGGAGGGAATAGAAAAGAAAAGGAAAATGAACTGAAAAGAGAAAAAATTGTTTTTGAAAGTATTGGCGCTTGTTCTAAGTTTCAGTTTCCGACAGCCAAAAATTCCTTGTCCTTTGTTGATTGGAAGTTGAAGAATACCAAGTTGTCGTTGAAGTTAGATATACATATATTGATCAGTTCCATTTTATTTTTGCATAACAACGTTAAATTATTTGACGATTTTCAATCAGTTTAAAGATTATAGTTTTTAAAATCTATTTGCTGAATATTCACTCATCTGTGGAGGGTCGGTTTGAAAAAAAAGGTAGAAACGTTTCTATTTTTAAGTTTTCTATTTGTGGAGTGGCAATAGTTAATCATAGGCGTAAGTTAAAGCAGCGTTGATCTTTTTCGCACCCGATAAAGTCAGTGGTGGGAAACAGCTTGATTTATCTATTTTTGCATGGTCTTATTCTTCAATCGTTATTTTTTTCAAAGCATACTGTGGAATGAATTGGGTTTTTTTCGTTAACTATACACATCTAGCGCAACTACAAAAAAATTTACAGGTAACCCACGGTCGTGCATTTTATAAAGTTACGAAGAGAGGAATTGTTGAATTAGTTGATAAGGAGTTAAATGAAGACCAAACTCAGGCAATGGAGGAAATAATATCGGAGAACTGGAACACTGTCATGCAAATTTATACGCAGACTACGGATGTAGTCAAAGAGTAATTTAAGATGAAGCTTTCGTTGTTACTGGTCGTTGTTCGTTTTCGTGTTAGTAGCTCTTTCTCAAAACAGCTTTTCAATTGCCGAGTGGCTTGTTTTCAAATTCTTAAATACTCTGTGAAGTCGATGAGGCTAAAATGTATTGAACTTTTACTTTAAATTTTAAAATTGAAGCTTAACACATAAACTTTTCAAGTGAATGTTTGGCTTCCGTTCTTTTATTTTGCCACTAGGTTCAGTATCGTTTGAAAAACAGGTGTCTGAGGAAACTCTTCAATTTCTTTTTTAAAATGATTAATTGTACAATTGCTCTACTTTCCTCTATTCTTCTGTATTATAGTTGATGGTCAGTGAGATAGGAGTAAAACATGATCAAAATTTGTATAAAATAAAATTTCAAGTCTAATCTGTTTTTCAGCGTTATATTTTTGACAACTAACATAAATTTACTTTTTTTAAAAAAATTGAGGAGCTATATCACTACAGAAAAAAGTAAAATTTGGTTGAGACGAGTAATAAGAGTATTGAAATTTGAGGCAGAAAGTCAGTGTTAACTTAGTAACGACTAGTGAATTTTTTTCTGCAAAGGACAAGTGTTTTTAGCTACTATATTGCAATTAGATAACTTCTTGTTAACTCCAATTGCCAACGACTTGTCTGCGAAACAAAAAGTTGGTGCTGTAGTATCGCTTTGATACACTTCAGTCATACAAACTTATTTAGGCAAGTACCTTCGTTTTGTTAAAGTGCCCAAACAGTTTTAATGCCCTATTACTGCACTGTTATTGGCTACACGAAGTTTCAGAGAGTACAGAGGAAGTTCTTGAAAGGAATCTGAATTTTTACTACTGGAAATGGAGCAATTATTTTATACTTACCAAACTAGTCCAGTTAGTTTAAACTTATCTTCAGTTATCACTTTCATCAACGAATCAAATACACAAAGTTCTTGCCGCACATAAACGCCTTCAAATCGTCAGCAGTTTTTACTTTTTCTTTTTGCCCATTATAGAGGGCAAAAGAAAGATTACTGACAAACGTTGGCGTGGCAATAATCTGGTCAAATCATCACAAAAGTCCTTTGGTATAGGCCGCAAAATAATCTACGCAATGATTTTAAAAAACTGTTAAGAACAGTTCTTAATTACTGCATTTGTTCATTTTCTAGTCGGTTTTGGTATCCGTTTCATCTTCAAGATCACAGTCAGCATTTCCGAACACCACATCAGCAAAATGCCATCCGATAATTGGTGATAACCAGTATACAGTTAGATGGCCAAGATGCGTAAGTCCTTCACAATTAAATGTACAAGACCAAGCTACAATTGGATTGGCATATAGGCCGGTATATTTTATACCTGAAATTTAAAATTTTAACTGTCGACATCAAACCATAACACATGAATTTTTTTGTGCACACTTCAAACTTAGTTTACTAAACTAACAATTATTAGCTCACTAATTTCAATTAATTTGCATCATTGTTAATTTGCTCTTTTTTCTCAAAGACCAATAAAAATGTAACATCAATTGCTTATGTGGTTTTACTGAGTTGATTGAAAGTAAACATGTTAATTGGCCTGTTCTCTGTAAAATTACTGCTAACCGAGCGCTGTAAGAAAACCAGAAAAGCAGCAGTTTAGAAACATTGGTGCTACCATATTCTGATATTCTGTATAGTATTCAACAGCTTTACTGCTAAAAGTTGCAACACCTTCAATTAAGCAACCGATCAATATGGCTACCTGTAAAACGGAAATAAAATTTTCAACTTGAAATGTTTTCCACAGTTGCCAAAAATTGCCATAATCATCAACTGGGTCTCTTTATCAATAAATTTTTTGCTGGTTTACGTTCATCTGCATATAACAGGAAAAAAAAACCTTTTTTCAAATAAAAAATTATTTATTAATTCTAGTAAAAATTTGATTACCGTCACCGGTAGTTAACAAAATTAGGAATTTGATCATGCATTAAACTGAGTTGAAATTACTTAATTTATTCAATAGTTTTTATTTGCTTTTTGTGTAAAAACAGCTAAAACGTTGAGCAAGAAATTGTTTACTGGATAAAAAAATTATGCAACTTACAGTTAGATCTGCATCACACCTATCCAAATGCAGTAATTCTAGATGTTTTTGATGAATTCCAAGTTTCCAAAATGTACGAGCCATAAAATATGCTGAAAATCCAGCAGCAAGTTCGGCAATAAAAAATGTGAAAGCTCGTTGCATTCTATTTGGCTTTTTATTTGCTGTCGTTACCTATTAATAAAAACCATATCACACTGTCCTGCAACAATTTAGTTGCACTAATCATCAATTCTGATTGCATTTCAGTGTGTTTTATCTGTTAAAAAGATGCTAAATTTAACAATTTGTAGGAAGATATAGTATAAGTTTATCTCCAGGTATATGTTTTATAAATTAGCGTAAAAAATGTGCGGTTCTACTGTGATTCTAAAGAATGTTTAAGTTATCGAAACAGACGGTGTGTTAAATGAATAACTGTTGCTTGTTGTTGTTGTTGTTGTTGATGATGGTTACTACAGCGTTCAACAGACTTACCAAAGGACACGGATGTGCAATAGCATCCCGAATGAAAATGGTATTTGCCATCTCCAAAATACTGATTTCCAAAAATACACCAAAAAGACCGTAGGTTTCAAGAATAACATTGACATCAAACATCGGTGCACAAGTTTGCAACGTACCAATGTACTAAACCAACATATCAGTTTGTATAAAGCAACTATATGCTATTGCAATAAAATCAAAAAAATATTTTGCTTTTACAAATAAACTTTTGACAGAAAAAGAGAAAGACCAAAATTACTAAAATTATGCCTGTTGTGTTGTAACTAAAATTTAATTAATTTCTCTGAATAAGGATAGTAAAGATGATAAAGTAAAAAAAAAAAAAAATTGAACATTATAATACCTCTAATAAAAATCGTCGAACTTTGTTGTACTGACGTCTGATAAATATTCGTTCGACAATAAATCGCATAATTTCACAAACCATAAAAACAAAGGTATAGAAAAGCAAAGAAGCGATCCATAATCTCATTGCTTCTTCTTTTTTGTTTTCTAAAATTTTAATAAACAAAAATAGTTGTGAGGATGAAAATGTTAATAGAATTTCAGAAAAATTTGAATAAAGCAACAGTTAAGCAGATGGGTAAGTTAACGTAAATTAAGTAAAGTGGATTGAATATACGGGCGCGGTTGAGTACAGTTTACTGATCACTTTTTGATACGTTTGCACAGTTGAATGCCGAGCCTAACAGATCACTGTCAGCCGGTGCTTTTCTGACGACTTCAATGTTTA